CCTGGTGTTGGGAAGAAGAGGGGGGGGGAGGGAGAGGCATTGCCATGGTAATAGATATTGTTGGGGAGTGTGTCGAGAAGGATGAAGTGCATGTGACCAGCTGTGTGTGTGTGTGTGTGCATGAGCATGGGCATGGCTGGGAGGGGCTTGTCGTCGTCGTCAGGGCTGGTCACATGGTACATGGTCACAAGGTCGTCTCGTCATCCATGGATTGGTTGAGGTGGGAGTGGAGGTGGGTGGGGGGGCTGGGGGGGGAGGGGATCATCGGTCGAGGTGTGGGATGAGGCTGGAGGGAGATGGAAGTGCACAGGTCGGCAAGTGCCCACCATCGCTCCCCTCCCTAGCTCATGATCGCTCCCCTTCCGAGCCCACGATCGCTCCCCTCTTCTCAGCCTCCCATCGCCTCCCCCCCCCCCTTCCCCTGGCCCACGATCGGAGACTCAAGATCTTATCATGGGGCGCAGCGCGTGATCTACACTACCGGCCTACCGGCAATGACTCACACTATTCTCTGCGAAGATGGCTACCGCCACCCGAATCTGACCCGTCGGCGCTCCGCCTCCTCGTTTATCAGCAGTCCGGCTCCAAGGGCGGTGTCGTGTTGTACGACTCGCTTGCTGGGAGCTCACCGTCGCCGTCGCCGACTCCCTCGCCGCCGGGTTCGCCGTCGCGTGGCACTGACGCCACCGGCCTCCCTCCCCGCCGCCGCCCCATCTCTGCAATGTCTGCATCTGCTGCAGCCGCTCGCGGTGGCCGCTCCTCGCGCGGCTCATCGGTTGCCTCATCCACAACATCCGCAAAGCGCCCCCCGGTTCCACCACGGTCGGCTGCGGGCGCGGCGCATACCGGCGGTGCGACCACGCCGCCACGCTCGCGGCCACCGTCGATCATTCCCGAGATGATGTTTGGTGCCACACCGCTCTTGACCAAGGGTGACAACATCAAGATCCACGTTCTCCGCCACCCGCGTCGAGTCCTGGTCTCCTCTGTCCTCACGGTGACCGTCACACTTCCACCACAGCGTGTCCGCTCGCGCGCCTCCCGCCCGCGCTCCGGCTCGTTCACTGACTCGGCGCTCAAGTGCGGCTCACGGTCGTCGTTCCGCATGTCGCCGTACGCCACCTGTTCCTCGTCGTCCGGCACCGCAGCGTCGGCATCGGCTACCCTGCGCACCCGCTCGGCCTCGGCTCGCTCGCCGCGCTCACCCAACGCGGCGCTCCAGGCAGCACGCGCCGCCGCCGTCACCAAGGTCCGCTCCCGCTCGCCGAGCGACGGCAAGTCGCCTTCAAGTGGCAAGCCGGCCGGCGATGAAGACGATGACGATGATGACGACTACATTCTGCTCCCACCGCGAGTCCTCCGCACCAACTTTGCGCTCGGCATCTTGTTTGAGGTGGAGCACGCGCCCGCGCTCGAGCGGCTTGTCTTTGCCCACTTTCCGCTCCTCGAGTGCATGTTGGCGAGCCTTCGTCGCGAGCTCCTCCCGGTCCTCACAGCCATGGTCCACCACCCGCTCCGTGTGCTCGGTCTGGTGGACGAAGCTACCGCAGCGGCGGCCGCCGCCGCTGTCGCAACTCCGGGCTTTCCTGTCTCGTGCTATGCGGCGTCAAAGCGGAGCCTCGGCGGCGCATCGCGGTCGCAGCTCCCGCGACTTGCGCGCGGCGCGCTCTTCCGCACACCTCCGCTCCCGCAGCTCCTTGTCGCGACCCTTGACAGTGTGTGGCGGCTGTACACTGCGCCGCGGCTCGCCGAGCCGCTCTGGCTCACGGTGGTGGCCTTTCCCAGCGCCCGCATGCGGGCGCTCTCTGAGTTGATGGAGCACCTGCTGTGGGCGGCGTCGGGCGTGCTTGCTGGACCCAAGGCCCAGACTCGCTCACGCAGCTTTCTCGCCGCCGCCATCACCGCTGTTCTCACCTCGCATCTCGGATGGGTTAGCACTGTTGCGCCGGCAGGCTTTGAGCTCGACGCCCTCGCCCGGCCGCACATTGGCTACCGCCATCGCCCACACTCGGACCCGGGCCTTGCCCAGCTGTGCGAGCTGTTCGGCAAGGGCGGCGGACGAAGCATGGTGTCGCGGACTGTGGTCGTCGGCAAGGACAAGGCCAAGGTCCTCCGCCTCATGGCCGTCCTCTCGTACTTTATTCGCTCCGGCGAAGTCTTCCAGCGCCTCATGGAGATGGCACCGTTCTCCGAGTCGGACGCGGTCGATTCGCCGGGCTCAGCCGTCTCGTTCACCACCGAGCTCGACGCCGATGTGGCTACCGACGCTGGCACACCCGCCGGGAGCGACGCCGACGAGCCGCCTGCCGCTGACGTCACTACCGCAGCGTGGTCGGTTGTCGGCCGCAGCGTTGACGTCGATGCCACCGACGCGACCCCCGACGCCGACGAAGCACCTGTGCTGCGCAACAGCGACGGCAAGTCCTCAGGCGCATCACTCGACCTCGAGTCTGCAGCCAAGGCTGCGCGGCGAGCCGAGCTGGTCGAGGCCACGCTCCGCGCGCTGCCGGACGCGACCCGTCAGCGACTGAGCGTTGTCCCGATGCCCGGAACCGCGTACGAGGCGGTGGTCCCGGCAGCCGGAGCCGGCGAGAAAACAAGCGCGCTGCCAGCGCCGGACTTGCGGACCGCCAGTCTTGGGCGGGCGCTGTTTGGCGGGTACCTTGCCAAGTTTGCCCCCGAGTTTGTGCTTTCTGGCGTGCCGCGGTTCGACGTGGTCGAGCACAGCAACGCCGAGCTGCACTCAGAGCTCACCCGGGTGCTCCACAAGAAGGATCCCGAGTTTGGGTCGGAGCTTGTGCTAGTCGACATTGACGCTGGCAGTGTCTCACGGCTGGCGCTCTGCACACCAACCGAGACCGCCAACGCCTCGCCAAACGCCATGGACCTAGTCCTCCATCCGGTGGTTGCGGCCGAGCACATCAGAGCAACGCTCGACGCGGTCGTTGCCTTTGCCTCCTTGGACATGCCGCCCGACTCGGCTGTTGTGCTCATCGAAGACCGACTGCAGGAGGCTTTCCTCAAGGCGCGTCTGGTGGCGCAGGCAGCCGAGGCGCTTGTGACCGCCGACGCCGCGGCCGGCCCGAGCTCGGGACTCTCGCTGGCGCTGGACGGCTCGCGCGGGGCGCAGAGAGTGGCAGTGACACCCGAGGAGCTCGCGAACAGGCTCCACTATCCGCCATCGGACATCCCGCTTCTCTTTGCGGCGGGCTCGCTCGTCTCGCCCAAGTGCTCTCGGGCACTGATCGACCTTGCGCCGCTGGCGGATGAGGCGCCGCAGCGAGTCGAGCGCGACGCCATCATGGCGTGGCGGGCCAAAATGGCAGAGTACGAGGCGTATATGTAGTTGGCTGTCGTGTGTATTGCGGCTCTGCTGCTATGAGGTTTGCGACGTTGCAGCCGCCTTGGCCTCGGCCGTCTTTGCCTTGGCGTCGGTGACAGCGTTGGCAGTGAGGACGCCCTTGGAAATGGCGAGCTCGAGAGTTGCTGGGTCGATGGGCGGGGCCGCCGCGTGTGCAGCGGATGTAGGCGGGCTGCCGCCGAGCGCATCGGACGACGGGCCGTAGGGCATGAAGATGACGCCGCCTTCGCGGGCCATCTGGCGCAGAGTGTCGAGGTAGTCAACTGTTGTGGCAATGCGGGCAGCCTCGGTGGCATCAACGCCCGAGGCAGCAACAAACTCTGCGACGGAGCGGTTGTAGCCGGCCATGATGGCCTGGCGCATGGCAGCGATGCCCTCTCCCTGCACTCTTTGCGCTGCTTCTCGGCCTCTGCGCGCGCGACAAGCTCGAGCCGCTCAGCCTCGGCAGCGTGGAGGGTGGCCTCGCGCTCGCGGTCGGCAATGAGGACAGCGTTCATAGCTTTGCGGACGGCAGCCTCGGGCGTGATGCTCACCACCGACGTCGATTCGACGGTCACGCCGTACTTGGACGCCCACGGGTGGAGCGTCTCCTCGACTTCGGCCACCAGCATGTGCTCCGACTCGAACAGCTGGTCGAGAGTGACCTGCGAGGTTGTCGAGCGGATGAGGTTCATCGTCCGCGCGGTGAGAATCTCCTTGAAGTCGTCGATGTTGTACACAAAGGCACAGACGTCCTCCTCGTTGGCCCGCATCCGCACCGCGTGCTGGATGTCAACGCTGGCAAACGCGCCGTCCTTGGTCTTGCTCCACGACTGGACGTCGATGAGCTCAACTCGGGTCGACAACTCGGGCGAAATCTCGGTCACAAACGGAATGTAGAAGTGGAGGCCAGGCTCAAGCACAGCCTTATACTTGCCAAATACCTCCTTGGTCTTGACTGTCCCTGTGTGGACGCGAGTCAGAAATGTCCGTGCCATCACCCGCGATGCCGCAGCGCCGACAGCCGGCGCCAAGGCCGACGCAACAGTCGGTGCCGCAGCTGCTGCCAGCGGCAGCATGGTTCCCAATCGGAGCATGATTCCAGTCTTCTAGCTATGGCTACAAACGTCGCCGGCGGCAACGCTACACAAGCAGTGCGGGTTTTGTCAAGGTAGCGGGAAAAAACTGTGACGCGTTAGACGCGTAAAAAAGAGAGGTCCACGAAAAAGGCGTAGAACAAGGCTGCCCGCCGGCTTGGAGGTGCGGATCGAGGCAGATGAAAGCATTTGTGGAAGCGTGAACGTAACGTGTAGGTGGTGGTAAAGAGGATGTTGGAAGCAGGGTGCGCGGAGGATGAATGATGATGGAAGCTGGCTTCGGTGTCCGAGGCAGTCAGTCGACAATGGAAGAACAACTGTTCTATTTGGTCACTGACAAATACAGAACGCTGCGGCGAAGCCGAGAGCGGCTGCGGCTATGGCAAGTAGCACTCATCGCCGATAGCCAGCCATCCATTGTCATGGGAGCAAGTCAGAGTGCAGAAGATGGGCGCAAAGCGAGCGAGTTGAGCTCTGACGAGCTGGCGCGGGCATGCGTTGTCCATCCGCACCCGGTCGGGCTCGAGCTAACGAGCGCAGTTGAGCACATCGATGGCGATGGTGATACCGATGGAGGACTGGTGAGGAGAGACATCGAAGGCGTCCCAGGCGCGTTTGTGGTGGATGACGTGCTGTCCAAGGCAGAGGCAGAGGCGGTGGTCGCTGCGGGCGAAGCCATCGGGTTTACGGTCGCACCGGTGACGACAGCAGCCGGACCAAGGTTGATGCCGGATGTCCGGACAAACATGCGGCTGATGTTTGAGGCCAGCGATGAGTTTCTGGCGGCCATCGCACAACGAATCTTTGCGCTGCTTCCCGAGACGGTGGACGCACGACCGCCGCCTGGCGAGAGCAAGACAAGCGGGTCGTGGCGGCTGATGCCCGCAGGCGAAGCGATGCTCAACAACCGTATCCGGCTGTACCGATACGCGCGCGATGAGGTCTTCCTCCCACACTTTGATGGCGCCTATCCGCGAAGTGCTCGCCAGGTCAGCATGCTCACCTTTCTCATCTACCTCGGTGGCGGGCTCGAAGGCGGTGAGACGACGTTCTACCCAGAAGGGCGGACATCGTTTGCAAGCGAACCCGGCGAGGTGGAGCCGATTAAGGTTGCACCGGCAGCAGGGCGTGCGCTGTTCTTTGAGCACGGACCATGCTACGCCTCGCCGTTCCACGAGGGCACCCCGCACACCACCGATGGCGTCTACAAGTATGTGTTCCGATCGGATGTGATGTACGAGTGGGAAGCGACCCACAGCGAGGCGGACAATGAGAACTGAGCAGTTGGTGATAAACAGCTCGCGGCAGTAGCGGGCGGAGATCTGTGTGTTGTTAGCAGTACCGCTGGTTCGGCGGCTTGAGATTGTCTCGCACGTACTGCCTCGGCCGACCGCACGTTATCGCGGTCGTCACACGTTGTTGTTGTTGTTGTCGTCGTCGTCGTCGCAGATCGTGATTTTAGGACAAGCGGGTGTCAGCCCCCCGACTATGTCTACGCCTTCAGAGCTTCAAGGTGCCAACCGTTCTGCATTGCTCAACCGACAACGTCACGTGATATCAGTCAGAGCAAGGCTCGCTGTCAAGCGGCTTCGTTCCCGGGGGGGGGGGGGGGGGGGGGGGGGGGGCAGACCAGGCCACCCGACTCAACTTTGGCCACTGCGGGCGGCCATGCAGATCTCGGGGACCCTACTGACACTGACACTCATGTACTCATTCCTGTTCAAGGTATGCCTTGTCCAACTCGGACGGGTTGTATACTACAAGTACGTCTATCTTCTCCTACATAC